CACCGAGTTTTGAGATCCACCTGTAACTCTTCACAGTCTGCTTTGGACTTAACTATCTTGAATAGTTCTGTATCATCTGCAAATTTTGCCGCCTCACTGTTCACCCCCTTTTCCCAATCATTAGAGAATATGCTGAACAGCACAGGTCCCAGTACAGATCCTTGGGAAACCCCACTGTTTACTTCTCTCCATTGTGAAAATTGACCATTTATTCCTACCCTTAGTTTATCATCTTTCAGCCAGTTACTGATCCATGAAAAGACCTTCCCTGTTGGCCCACGACGACTTAGTTTCCTTACGGGCCTTTGGTGAAGAACCTTGTCACACATTTTCTGAAAATCCAAGTACAGTATATCAACTGGATCACCCTTGTTCACATTCTTGTTGACCCCCTCAAAGAATTCTAGGAGATTGGTGAGGCATGATTTCCCTTTATAAAAGCCAGGTTGACACTTCCCCACTAAATCGTATTTATCTATGGGTCTGATAATTCTTTTCTTTAGCAAAGTTTCTACCAATTTGTCTGGTACTGAAGGTAGGTGTGCCAGCCTACAATTGTCAGGATTGACACTGGAGCCCTTAAAAAAAAAAAAAAGATCTGTGTTACCTTACCTAACTTCCAGTCATCTTGTACAGAAGTTGATTTCAGCAATAGGTTATGTACTACGTTAGTAGTTCTGCAGTCTCATATTTGAGTTGCCTCAGAACTCTTGGGTGAATAAACATTGGGTCCTGGTGGTGACTTGTTACATTTATCAATTTGTTCTAAAACTTCTTCTATTCACAGATAAGAATGGGATAGTACTTCAGATTTGTCACCCAAAAAGGATAGCTCTGATGTGAGTATCTCCTGCACATCATCTGCAGTGAAGACTGATGCAAAGATTACATTTAGCTTCTCTGCAATGACCTTGTCTTCCAGGAGTGCTCCTTTAACACCTTTGTCATCCAGTGGCCTGGCTGCCTGTTCGGCATACTTCAAAATATTCTTGTTAGTTTTTATATCTTTAGAGTAAGTTGCTTCTCTGGATTGCATTTTTATACTTTTACACTTAACCTAACAAAGTTTGTGCTCCTTCCTATTATCCTTACTAGGATTTGACTTGCAAATTTTTGCCTCTGATGGCCTCCATTACTCTGCTATTTAACCATGGTGGCATTCTTTTGGTCCTCTTACTGTCTTTTCTGATTTGTGGTATACATTTAGTCTGAGCCTCTATTAGGGTGTTTTTAAGTAGTCCAGCATGCTGCCTGCAGGCTTTTAGCCCTTGTGGCAATGCCTTTTAATTTCCATATAAGGAGCATACTCATTTTTGTGTAGTTTCCCTTTTTAAAATTAAATGTTATTGTGGCAGGTTTTTTTGTATTATCACCCCTCCAAGGATATTAAAGTTAATTACATTATGGTCACTATTACTGAGCAGTTCAGCTATACGGATCAGATCCTGTGCTCCATTTAGGTGTAAATCAAGAACTGCCTCTCCCTTTGTGGGTTCCAGGACTAACTGCACCAAGAAACACTCATTTATGGTGTCTAGAAATTTTATCTGCATCATGTCCTGAGGTGACATTTACCCAGTCAATAGAAGGAAAGTTGAAGTCACCCATTATTATCGTACTTTCTGCTTTTGTAGCCTCTCTAACCTCCCTTGGCATTTCACAATCATGAATACCATCCTGGTCAGGTGCTCAGTAGTATATTCCTACTGCTACACTGTTTTTAGTCAAGTATGGAATTTTTCTATCCATAGATTCAAGGACTGGAAGGGACCTCGAGAGGTCATCGAGTCCAGTCCCCTGCCCGCATGGCAGGACCAAATACTGTCTAGACCATTCCTGATAGACATTTATCTAACCTACTCTTAAATATCTCCAGAGATGGAGATTCCACAACCTCCCTAGGCAATTTATTCCAGTGTTTAACCACCCTGATAGTTAGGAACTTTTTCCTAATGTCCAACCTAGACCTCCTTTGCTGCAGTTAACATAAGAAAGGCCGTACCGGGTCAGACCAAAGGTCCATCTAGCCCAGTATCCTGTCTACCGACAGTGGCCAATGCCAGGTGCCCCAGAGGGAGTGAACCTAACAGGCAATGATCAAGTGATCTCTCTCCTCCAAGTTTAAGCCCATTGCTTCTTGTTCTATCCTTAGAGGCTAAGATGAACAAGTTTTCTCCCTCCTCCTTATGACACCCTTTTAGATACCTGAAAACTGCTATCATGTCCCCTCTCAGTCTTCTCTTTTCCAAACTAAACAAACCCAATTCTTTCAGCCTTCCTTCATAGGTCATGTTCTCAAGACTTTTAATCATTCTTGTTGCTCTTCTCTGGACCCTCTCCAATTTCTCCACATCTTTCTTGAAATGCGGTGCCCAGAACTGGACACAATACTCCAGTTGAGGCCTAGATATCCTATGGTACAGTTTGTTTAAGATTTTTACTTGGGCTGTTGATTAATCACAGTTAACTCACGCGATTAACTAAAAAAATTAATCACGATTAAAAAAATTAATTACAATTAATTGCAGTTTTAATCACACGGTTAAACAATAGAATACAATTGAAATTTATGAAATATTTTGGATGTTTTTCTACATTTTCAAATACATTGTATTCTGTGTTGTAATTTAAATCAAAGTGTATATTATTTTAATTACAAATATTTGCACTGTAAAAAATGATAAACAAAAGAAATAGTATTTTTCAATTCACCTAATACAAGTACTGTAGTGCAATCCCTTTGTCATGAAAGTGAAACTTAAAAATGTAGATATTTTTTGTTACATAACTGCACTCAAAAACAAAAAAGTGTAAAACTTTAGAGCCTACAAGTCCACTCAGTCCTATTTCTTGATCAGCCAATCGCTCAGACAAACAAGTTTGTTTACATTTACAGGAGGTAATGCTGCCCTCTTCTTATTTACAATGTCACCAGAAAGTGAGAACAGGCATTTGCATGGCACTTTTGTAGCCGGCATTGCAAGGTATTTACATTCTAATTAATGTTGCTAAACGTTCGTATGCCCCTTCATGCTTTGACCACTATTCCAGAGGACATGCTTCCATGCTGATGATGTTTGTTAAAAAAATAACACGTTAATTAAATTAGTGACTGAACTCCTTGGGGGAGAATTGTATGTCTCCTGCTCTGTTTTACTTGCATTCTGCCATATATTTCATGTTATCGCAGTCTCGGATGATGACCCAGCATCTGTTGTTCATTTTAAGAACACTTTCTCTGCAGATTTGACAAAACACAAATAAGGTACCAATGTGAGATTTCTAAAGATAGCTACAGCACTCGATCCAAGGTTTAAGAATCTGAAGTGCCCTCCAAATCTGAGAGGGACGAGGTGTGGAGCATGCTTTCAGAAGTCTTAAAAGAGCAACACTCCGATGCAGAAACTTGTAATCAAATATAAAAATATAAATATAAAGTAAGCACTGTACACTGTGTTATAATTGAAATCAATATATTTGAAAATGTAGAAAACACCCAAAAATATTTAAATAAATGGTATTCTATTATTGTTTAATCATGTAGTTTTTTTAATCGCTTGACATCCCTAATTTTTACTTTATTTGACTCTATGCTTTCTTTCACATATAATGCCACTCCCCCACCAGAGCAACCTCCTCTTGCAGTGTCATTTCGACAAATACCCCCTGAGGCTGTACATCAGTAGTAGATGAAGCAATCTCTGGGGACAGTTGGTAGAACATCTTGGAAATTCTCAGGTTCAGAGGTACTGTATATATTTAGGGAAGGTTGTCCAAACTGTTGTGGTAAGGAAAGCATGTATTTGGTTATGAACTGAAAATGTTCCCTTAGCCATGCCCTGACATTTTTAAATGTATAGGTCTGAATCAGCTGCATCCCTACACCCTCCCCAGCGGTCTCCAAGCAGCTGCTGTACCTTCCCTGATGCAGCCGCCACGCTGGTCGTGTGTTGCATTGCAGGGAGAGGAAAGAGTGAGTAGCTCTAGCTGCTCCACAACCTGGTTAGGTAACAGGCAATGGAAGTCTCAGAGGGAGCAGGTTGGAAGCTTGACGGGCTCTGCCTAATCCAATGAGAGCACCTAGCAAAGGACAGCCTAAGAAAGTGTGTATGGGGGGGGGGGGGCGAAGGGGGGGGGGGGGGGGGGGGGGGGGCTGAAGAGGCGGGAGGTGGGGGGAGAAGAAAACCTAAGAACCAACCACCACTCACAGCTCCCTGATTCTACCCCTAGAACAGCCTGGAGGCTACTCTAGCTTGTGCCAGCTGGCAGGGATACTCAAGAGACCACAAGCCAACTGAGGAAATCCAGAACACAGCCCAATCCTGCCACTTCACTGTCCCCACTCCCCCCAACATGTCTTTTGCACCTGGAGCCACAGGAAATGAAGTATAAAACCTGGGTATCCCCGCTGTATTCCCCCCCGACACCCCCCCCCCCCCACCATATGCCAGGGGAATCTCCAGCAGAGACTTGCAGGTGGTTTCTGCTCCCTTTTCACCACCTGAAAAATGCAAAGGGAACAAGACAGAAAAATCAGCCCCGAACTACTCACTGTGACCCCTTGATCTTTCTGAAACAATATGTCTGGCCCTCAGATTGAAGAGGTCTGACACCACTGATGTATGGTATTCTAAGGCAGGGCCTATGCATGTAGCGCTGCCTATAGTTAAAACTACCGAACACTTTTCATTACAGTCCATTTTCATTTGCTTACACCAGTTTCTGGCTACTCTGTGGTCTGAGACTAAAGCTTGTGCTTCTTAGTCGTGCTTACTGAAACATTTTGTTTTATAGCTTGTCAGTACTGAAGCTTTTTAGCTATGGATGAGGCAACAACTGGGCAGGTTTCCTGCATGTCATTTCTGTACACTGTCTCAGAGAAACCTCTTCTGAGTATAAGAAGGTGGCTCAGTCCCCTTGGCCTATTCAGTTCTTGGCCAAGAATGGTATAATGTGGATAACCACCTCCAGGTGGCAGTATGAAACATACTGGTTCTTACCTCTAGACAGATAACCGATCCTTGATGCTCTTTGAACACTTTTAACTGCTCGCCGGTCACAATATTCCATGTTCGGATGGTATAATCTGTGCTGCCAGAAAATAACTCCCTATTTGGAGCATCAAGTATAAGGCATAAAACAGCCCCAGTGTGCCCTAGCAGAGTCTGATAGCAACGCCCACTCGACACCCACCAGACCTTAACAGTGCAGTCTGTGCTTCCTGTCACCAGGAAGTCTCTGCTCAGTTTCTCCTGCTCCTCCTCCGACTCATCAAGAACATCCCTGGAGGAGTAGTGAGCCAAAGTCAGAACACAGTTCCGATGGCCCCGGAATTCCTGGATTTGCTTCTCCTTGTCCACACTCCAGCACCGAGCTGTCCTGTCATAGGAGCCGCTAAATAGATAGTCTTTGGCAACCAGGATCCTGTTAAAAATAAACAACTATATACACATTGTTGCTTTGTGCTTTAATTTCCATCCCCCTCACCCCCGGTGACTGCATAAAGGATACTGTACCAAGAGTGCAATGAAGTGCTAGCAGCAGCCGTCCCTCAAATAATTGTTCAACCATCAGATATATTAACTATATCAGTGTGAGCGCCTCATTGCCACATGCAAGGACATGGCACAGTCCTTCAGAGCCTTACCCAGTTACAAATGAAAACAGGCACATTGCAAGGCAGAAGACTACTCCATTCAGGGTTCATCAAGGTTTTCGCCTTTGGTATTGGATTCTCTGCTTCTTAACATTTCCCTTCCAGTTTAGCACACCATGTTGTTAGCAACAACTCCAATTCCCCACTGCAGGAAGTATCTAGATTTCTGATACACTGACAACGGAAGATTCCCAGGATCATAAGATTTGCCAAACCAGATCAGAGGTCCATCTAATCTGCTATCCTATCTTCAACAGTGGCTAACACCAGATGTTTCAGAGGAAAATACAAAAAAATCCCATAGTGGACAATTACATATGGAATAACTTGCCCATAAAAGAAGTTTCTTCCGAATCCCAGCTAATTAGGGATTATTTATACCCTGAAGAATGAGAGTTTAATCCTTTTACAATTTTTATCCTCATTTAATTGCTGATGTTTTCATTAACTATATGAATTACATGTAAAAAAACTACATAAAAAGAATGTTAAAGTTGCAAATATAAGCATTCAGAAGTTAGGAAATGCCAGAATTAAAGTTGCTTGTGCAACCTTAATTTGGTCCTGTTGCATATGCATTATACATAATCACATGCTATCCTTCCTCTCCATCCCCCCAAAAAACCAAAACAAGCCAAAAACAAAACCTGATTCAGCATTTTGAAGTCATGTAACTTATTTAGGCACCTAAAATAGACTAATTTTGGGCACCCTCTAAAAAATAACCTTGACCAGCAGCGCTACCATGTGTTATTCATTAGTTTTCAGTTGCTTTTTTAAACTTGTTATTTAGCAGCTCATTTTTCATTATGGCTATTTAGTTGTCCAAATGCTGGCCTAAGAAAATAGCCAACAATAACAGCAATTAAACTAATCAGACATTTAGTTTCCAAGAACTTGAACCACAAATGGTTCCTAAAACCAATTATCATGCAACTGTCTGACAAACAGGCAGGTTAAAGACAACATTTAAATAAACACCTAGCCAAGGATCTCACAAAAAGAGGATAATCATCATTATCCCAATTTTACAGATAGAGGCTACGGCTACACTAGAGAGCCGTGCACTACAGCCAGGGCCGGCTCTGGCTTTTTCGCCGCCCCAGGCGAAAAAGCCTCCGGCCCCCCCCCCCCCCGCCGGAGGGGGCGGGGGGGGAGGGTGGCCGGAGCCCTGGGGGGAGGGCGGCGAGCCCCGGCTGGGGCTCGGCTCTCCCCCCCGGCGGCCGGAGCGCCGCGCCGCCACCCCCCTCCAGGTGCCGCCCCAAGCACCAGCTTGGGTGCCTGGAGCCGGCCCTGACTACAGCTGCGCTGCTGTAAGCTCTCTAATGTAGCTGCTCTAAGCAGGCGGGGGAGAGCTCTCTCAACGGCTTAACTACTTCAGCCCCGGCGAGCGGCTGCTACCTATACTGGCAGGAGAAGCTCTGCCATCGAAATAGTGCTGTCCACACCAGCGCTTATGTTGGTGTAATTTATGTCACTAGGGGGGTGGTTTATTCACACCCCTGAGCAACATAAATTATGCTGACAAAAGCTGTAGCGTAGACATAGCCAGAGAAACTGAAGCAGAGAGAGGTTAAGTGACTTCCTTAAACTCTCAAAGGGAGTCAGTGACAGACGTAGGATCAGACACCCAGGCCAGCACTCCATCCACTGGACGACAGAAGATCTGATCAAAGAGCAGCATGCAGCCCATGAAGTTCTACACAGCAGTTCATAGCACCTTCACCTTAATGAGAAAAAGCAGCTGGTCCACTTAGATCAAGAAGCCAAACATCCGAATTAGAGACAGGGCAGGGTGGGGAGGATACTTCTAACCACCTTCTTGTCCGTAAGTTAGACATGGCCCTTTAGCATCTTTCAGGCTGCGAAGGCAGCCATCTAAAATGGGCAATGTTTTGGTGTTCCTTTAATTGAAGATGTCATGAAAACTGGCTGACCTGGTATTTGAGCTCTCTCCTCCTATCTGTTTAGGGATTCTGTTACATGTGTGTATTTGTTTTTTCCTTTCGAAACAAATGCTTCAATTGCTCTATTCCTAAATAAGTAAGTATTTTCCAGCAATCAGGAGAAACCCTATGATAACAAGCTAGGGAATATGCAAGTTCAGTAAGAAGTCACAGTGTCATTTTAAACTTAGTTTTAACAATAAGGAATAAATCATTCAAACAGGACCATGTCCTTTTTGCTAACAAGAATGGCTGACATGCTGCTTTTAAAATCTATTTATCACAGACATCTGCTTTCAACTGAGCAGTTTCTTCTAGAATTCCATTCCCAGTGGCAGATTCACCATGCTGTGAGCCTTTTGCTGTTCTCCCATCTCCAGTCTATAGCTGTGTCAGCACTGTTGCTAGGATAACTCATCATTACAGCAAAGAACATGAGTAGCAGAGAGTCAAAGATTTACACAACCCATTTAGTTGTGTAATGGAGATTACTGGTAAAAAAACAATTTATTGGTAGAGAGACAAGGTGTGTGAGATAATATTTTTGTTGGACCAACATCAGTTGGAGAGAGAGACAAGCTTTCGAGCTACACAGAGCTCGTCCTCAGGTCCCACAAAAGATACACCTCTACCTCAATATAACGCTGTCCTCGGGAGCCAAAAAATCTTACCGCGTTATAGGTGAAACCGCGTTATATCGAACTTGCTTTGATCCACTGGAGTGCGCAGCCCCGCCCCTCTAGAGCACTGCTTTACCGCGTTATATCCGAATTCGTGTTATATTGGGTCACGTTATATCGGGGTAGAGGTGTATTACCTCACCCGCCTTGTCTCTCTAACATCCTGGGACCCACCGGGCTACAACAGCTGCATACAATGTATCTGGTGTCAAGTTACAGAAGCACAATGGAATGATCCTCTTAAGTGAAGAATCTGTATTACCAACCTGTTGACAATTGATGTGTGCCCTCGGTAAATGGCCAGACACTGGCCTGTCATCACGTCCCACTTTCTAATTGTGTGATCTGCACTACATGTGAATGCAACCTCATTTTCTAAGTGGCAAAAGGTGATGTAGCTTTCATGTCCTAGGAACAATGAGGGAGATAAAAAATATTCAGTATGTTGCAAACAGAACAGATCTGGCAAGCTGTGACATGCTCTCTTTAGTTTAATTTAAAAAAAAAACAAAAAACTTAGTTTGAAATTGGCCTGATCCAAAACCCCAGACTTTAATACTTTTGAGGCTCTAGTTTTAAAATCCATAACCGAGTTCATCACAAGCAAGAGCTCGTGGAAAACACAGCACTTTTAATTTTAAAAGCATGAACTCCATCTTTGTTTTACAGCTTCACTGGTATAAGGAATAAATGAACAGAGGCATAGGTGCTGGAACTAGGGGTGCTACCGCACCCCCGGGCTTGAAGTAGTAACAACCCAAATACGTGGTTTCCACATTCCCCCACTATAAAAATTGTTCCAGGACCACTGAACAGAGGTATGGTGGATCATTTCAAGGATTACTCTCAACCAGCTTAAGGCCCATCACTGAGCTTCTTGTTGTTTTAAAGGTTATTATGGAAACAATGAGCCAAATTCATCCTTGGTGTAACTCAACTGAAATCAATTGAGTTCAAAGGAGTAAGGAATTTGGTTCACTATATAAATACGTGTATTTTCTCTGCTCTTTTTTAATTTGGTGAAAAAAGTGTATTTCAACATTACCCTCTGGTTTTTTAGACAAACAGCAGCACTGGGCTAGTGCAGGAAATCCTGAAATACAAAAGACTAATTGGAAAGTTTAGTTACCAATCTAATTTAATAGTCCAATCAATATGAGTGAAATGCAAGCAACTAAAAGAACATGAGTGATGAAAAGTAAATCAGCTGTATTCCCCCCGCCCCATTATATCTAATAACAAATAGAAATATTACATATGCTTTTAATGGCAATAGTAGCTCTTTAAGCAAATAAAGTAGAGAGAAAGAATAAAGGCATTGTCATTACTATTTATACAGTGATCAGAGCATACTAGGCTTTATAGTCAGATTAAAAATAGACACGGTCCCTGCCCTAAAGAGTTTACACTCAAACAAAAGTGTGGGAATAGAGGCAAGGAGGACAAGGGTTACAACATTTAGGTTGAGTTGTTATTTGATTGTACCATTAAGTGTATTTTACTGGGACTCATGAGTTCAAGATTCAATTCCCACCAGCTCTGCCATAGCCTTCCAATTTGGCCTTGTCACAACATCTCTCTGGGCCTTGGTTCCCCATCTTTAAACTAGGGGTATAATACTTTCCCCCACCTCCCAGCCCCGCTTTGTTTTATCTGTTTAGATTGCTTACTCTTGGGGTAACATCTCTTACTATGCGGCTGTACAGTGCCTAGCACAATGGAACCCCAATCTCAGGAGGGGCCTCTAGGCGCTGTTATAATACAAGTGATGAATATTATTATTCCAGGTAGCTTGGGGTTTGTTTGAGGTTTTTTGGCCCCCTTGGGGGAGGGGGAAAGAGGTAGAACATGACAAGCAGAAGAGGTTGGAGGGCAAGAGGAAGGAACAAAGATATAGGGAAGGGAGTGGTAGAGTAGGGCGAGTTATGCAGAAGAGGGAAATGGGAAAGGGTAGAGGTAAGGATCAGGAGGCAAGCAGACATAGTTAACTGTCAGCATTAAAAACATGTGACTTAAAACAAGTGACTAAAGATGGTCAATTAGATGTTACTGCAATCCAGAGTCCTGAGGTGCTAGAATGATATAGAATTCTTTGATTAATGAAGGGTTCCTCTCTGAGTTGACCTGCTACATTTGTCATTCTTAAATTTTTAATCCATTTTTGCTCAGTCTTATTGCAATCCTCTCAAGTCTTTCAAAAATAGAGCAAAACTGATTCACATTAACAGCAGTAGCACCTGGACATCCTACTTTCTGGAATCCAACAACTGCTGTAGCTAATCTAGGCTCTTAGTCAAATACTTATCTAGAAGAGGGACACACGCAATATACTGTCAGACTAACTGTAGACCATGCTGTGCACAAGAATTTGTTTATTGTTAATCTGACAGCATATTACACATCTTGTCAACTAGAGCATAAATTCTTTGCAATAAAATGAATACGTGGCTGACTTCCAGAAAGTAAGAGACCTTCCAGATGGTATCGCTAGTAAAGGTAAACTGAGATGCATTTTAAGTAAATAAAAGATGGCTCTGGAGATTAGTAATGTGATTTAGCACTCTTCTAGCTGCTGGCTCAATTCCAACCTAGGTCACATGACCAACAGTTGTTATCAACAGCCAATGAAAAGCAAGCTTGATGGCCTCAGTCCAAATACCCAGGGACTGTAATGTGCACCCAAAAAACAAGCAAACATAAAAAACAACCCACAGCAAAATTTGGCCCCCTTATAAGCAGATTCAACACACTGGTCAAGAATCAGGCCATCTGATCTATTCTATGAACCCTTGTACCTATGCTGAGGTTTTGTGAAAACCTTTCACCAGTGTTAGCAAATTTGGGAGTGTTAGAGTAGACATCCACCAGCATCTTTATCACCATGCTACATAATTCTGCTCTGAGCAGATCTAGACCAGTGGTTTTCAAACTTTGGGTCACGACCCAGTACTGGGTCGCAGAATGCAAGGCACTGGGTCGCCTTCCTCAGCACCCAGGGACCCTGGCGCCCGGCCAGTAAAACCTAGTGGTTCTTGGCCTATGGGAGCTGGGGGTGGTGGTGCCTGCGGGCGAGAGCCACGCAAAGCCGTTTGCGCGCCTCCGCCTAGGAGCCGGACCTGCTGCTGGCTGCTTCTGGGGCACAGCGCGGTCCGCCGAGCCAGGACAGGTGGGAAGCCTGCCTCTGCACCCCGGCTGTGCCGCTGACTGGGAGCCACCAGAGGTAGGCCTGCGCCCCAACCCCACACCCCTACCCCATCCCTGAGCCCCCCAAATCCAAAGCCCCCTCCTGCACCCCAAACCCCTCATCCCGGCCCATCCCCACAGCCTGCACCCCCAGCCCAGAACCCTGACTCCCCCGCACCCCAACACCCCGCCCCAACCCAGAGCCCCCTCCCACACCCTGAACCCCTCATTCCTGGCCCCACCCTCACACCCCAACCCTCTGCCCCAGCCCTGAGCCCCCTCCCACACCCCAAACTTCTCATCCCCAACTCCGTTGGGTTGGGGGCATCAACAATTTTCTTCATCTGGGTCACCAGAAAAAAAGTTTGAAAACCACTGATCTAGACAACCTGGTGGCTGAATCACTTCACCACTATCTACAATAGTTACTCCTGGAGGAATTCTGCACCACTGTACACATGCAAAATTCATGTTCCCTACAGATTCCCCCCCCCCCGCCCCCGCTCAAAAAATAGATTCTCCAGGGGAGGCGCTGCAATTACACCTTTCACCCACCAGGGGCTACTGTGGTGCAAGAAGAGAACAGCTGGCTCATGGGCAGAAGAGGCTGCTTTCCTCACAGTGCCCTGCCTGTGGGGGCAGGTGAGGAGGCACAGGATATGTGAGGGATGGACAGAGCAGGGCACATGGCTTCTGGGGGGGTCATAGACTGGGGTTCACAAGGGCTAGTGGGGGGAGACAGACTGGGGCGGGAGCACAGGAGCTAGTGGGTGATAGCATTGAGTCACGGGCTGAATGGGAGTGCAGGGCCACATGGGGATGGCAGAGAAGGGGTGGCTGAGTGGGGGTGCAGGAACACATGGGGACAGAGGCAGATGTGCCTGACTGAATGGGAGAGGCTAGGGGTTAGCCAGGGACTGCATGGGGAAGGCTCCCCAATTTCCTAACAACCCCTCCCAAAAAACAACTGTTCCACACTTCTTCCACCCACACCCAACAACCCTCCAGGTTCACTCCCAGGCTGCTTCCCAGCAATTACTTCCCTCTCCCTCAGCTCCTCTGTTACCCCGACTCTCCTAAACCTTTGCACTGTTTCTGAGAGGTGCAGGAAATAACTAGATTCCTGCAAATCCGTGGGTATCCGCTTTATATCCGTGGACCATTTTTGCAGATAGCTGCTCGGATGCAGATACAAATTTTGTATCCGCACAGGGCTCTGACGGTAAGAGCCAGGCAGGCAGCTGTGAGGAACCATGGTGCGGACTCTCCACCTGCCCTGGGCGGGGCACCTGGGGTGCAGGGACATGGACTGGGGGCTGCTCAGGCCCCCTGCCCAGGGCAGGTGGAGGGTCCACCGTGACTCCCAACAGCTGGCTCTTATCATGGCCAGGCTGCGTCTCCGAGGGCCTGAGGGCTGAGGCTCTGAGGCACCCCGTCCCCGCTGGAGCCGGGTCATGGAGAGCCACGCGGGCAGCTGTGGGGAGCCGTCATGGACCCTCCACCTGCCCTTGGCCGGGCAGGGAGCTGGGGGGTGGGGACATGGCTGGGGGCTGCTCCCCGTCCCTCCCCTGCACCGCAGGCAGGTGGAGAGTCTGGTGTGGCTCCCCACAGCTCCCCAGCTGGGCTCAAGCTGGCCTGGCCGGGGGGAAGGGCGGGTGGGACCTTGGTAGAGGAAGAAGAGGGGGAAGGGGAGGAGTCCGCCCCTGTGAAGAGTGGATGGGCAAGGCCCCTCCTGGCCCCCTATTCCGACACCACTGGTCACTGCTGCATGGTGACCTGTGGAGCTGCTCGGGCCCCCCACCCAGGGCAGGTGGAGGTCCATGACTCCACACCAGCTCCCCACAGCTGCCCACTCAGCTCTCCCCGACCTGGCTCTGGCCGGGGGCGGGGTAGGGCCTTGGAGCCGCAGTCTAGCCATGATCAAAGCCACATAGGCAGCTGTGAGGAGCCGCGGATTTGCGGACCCTCCACCTGCTCCGGGCAAGGACACGGGCTGGGGGCTGCTCGGGTCCCCCGCACCACGGGCAATGAGAGGGTCTACCGCGGCTCCCCACAGCTGCCCACGGGGCTCTTATCATGGCTGGGCTGCGGCTCTGAGCGCCCTCCCTCCCCCGGCCAGAGCTGGGTCGGGGAGAGCCGCGCTGGCAGCTATGGGGTGTCTGGGTCCCTCCACCTGCCCTGGGCAGAGGATCTGGGGGTCAGGGAAACGGGCCGGGGGCTGCTCGGGTCCCCCACCCACAGCAGGTGGAGGGTCTGCCACGACTCCCCACAGCTGCCAGCGCGGCTCTCCCTGACCCAGCTCCAGCGGGGACGGGGTGCCTCAGAGCCTCAGCCCGGCCACAGCAAGTAGAGCCATGCAAATCCGCTGATATCTGTGGATATCCGCAGACAACTTTTGCGGCTCACAGATCAGATGCAGATACACATTTTTGTATCCAAGCAGGGCTCTAGAAATGTGTTTCTTTATTGTAGTTTAAATGAATTATTACTCAAAATTCTGTATTAATATGTCTATTAAGGAATCTATTTGTCAAAAACATTTCCTGAATCTTTGTTGTTGTCTATATTGTTACAGATATACTTGCTGACAGGTATTTTGAAATAAATTAACAAAATAATCGAAACTGGAGTGATTATATTGTGTTATTTTAACTAATAAGATATGCAGAATTTTGAAATATTTTGCGCAGAATTTTTAATGTTTTGTAGCAGAATTCCCCCAGGAGTAAATAGTGCATAATTCACAAAAACCTCATTGTAGACAAGGCTTCACTGATGGGTTAGGGTTGAGGCATCTTGGCTATGTTGTGGGGGAAGCTTGCAGTGGTGTTTGTTTTGTTGGCAGAGGGCTGTCAGTATGGTGACTTTCACAACACCAAATTTATATGATTTTTTCCATTAAATATGATAAACTATTTCATGTAGAATTGAAACTAATGAACATACTTAAGGGAGATTATGTGTGGGTAGAGCCCCAAACCCTAGCAGTAAGTAGACCTGGTTGTGAATATACCCAACAGTTATTGAGTGAATTAAAAAAATAATTATAATCCTAAAGGAGTATGCAGGAAGTTATCTAAAGGGCGGTTTTAACATAGGAAATTCAAGATTTCAATTCACAATCCCCGCCTGCAGGGTTTCTGCATTCTTTAAGCATTTTGAGGTTAGTCTAGGGATTGTGTAGGAAGATGTAAATCTCAAACAGGTAAAAACAATTTCAGAAGAAAAAGCCTAAAAGTTTGCATTAGACACATGGGGATGTTTTGTTCTACTGAAGAAAATCCCATTGTTCACTGAGGTCTGTTTCTCAACTGTAAGGTCAAGAAGTTCTGAATAAAAGTGAAAATTAAAAAACAAACAAACCCACAACTACACTCGGGTGAGAAGCTGAGGACTGCAGTAAGGAAGCAGAAGTTAAATTGCTGTGCTCTACTCCAGAGACAAAGGGATTCCTCTGTGTGGTAACGTTTGAAACTTGCTTTGGGATGAAAGAGTTTCTAGTTAATATTACTCTTACTGATTCTTAAGCATGATATTTGGCCACTCAAACTGCTCCAGAGACTGGAGAGGATAGAACATGCTGTGTCAGGTTTGTACCATACCTTAGAATAAACTGTACTTGGACTCAGAGCCTGGAGAAAAGGGACACATACTGTACCTTGGAAGTGGCCATGGCACTGGCTATCTGCTGTGCTCCAGAGACGTGCAGTGCCATCTTCACTGCCCGTCAGCAGGTGCTGCCCGTCTGGGCTCAGACTGAGCCAGTTGATGCCTCCTCGGTGATCAGTACAGACCTTCAGTGCCGAGCCACTGCTCCCCATCCTGCTGGCCTCAGCACAGGCCCCAGCAAAGGCAGAGGACCCAGACAGGGGTTGACTCACTGGCTCCACATCACTCTAGGAAGGTAGTATGAACCTGCAGTGGGCTCCCAGAGACCAACTTCAGCCATCACTATGGTCCTGAGAAACCAGCAGGCTAGCCTAGTCCCCTGCAAAAATGCACAAGGTCACAGAACAGGACACACAACACTAACTGATCCTTAGCATGGATAGTTACCCTCTTCCCCTCCCCTGGCCAGAACATATTAAACTAACCAATCCCTGTCCCTTTATGAGTAAACATGGGAAATGCAGCAATTCTCACTGCTATAGGGCACGGGGCTGAATCTACGTTGCAACCTTGCCACATGCACTTTATTCTGGTTATAAGAAAGGGCTTGATTTTCTGCAGTGAAGAGCACTGGTAGCTCCCACTGCTCCGGCTGTACTACCAATAATCTGGTGTCCTGACCATCCCGGAGGATTCTCATGTATCCTTGAAAGGTTTAAAGCCAGGTCTGACTAGACACAGGGGATTAACACCTTAAAGCAGCATAAAGCCCAGTCCTGACAGAGGTCAGTCTTTTCTACAGTTTGCAAAACATGTGTAGCTTGTCATGCCAATGCAGTATTATCAAACTGAACTGACTGGACATGATGTCAGCCCAGTGACCCTCGCCCTGGCCCCACAAAACCTGTCCTTTCTAAGCACCGCTCTCTCGCACCCCTAACTCTGCCTTTAGCACTTCTTCATCACCTTTGTGCCAAGTCCTGAATAGACACATTAGAAATGAGGTCGTATGCCAAAGAGAGCAGTGAGAATGCCCACACCACCTCCTCTCCCATCCCAGGGGCAGGGGCCAGGGGCCAGGGCAGGTTTGCTCTCTGTGGTGCCCCTCCTCTGAGGTACAAGCACACAGGTTTCTGCCTGCCCCTCCCACTGAGGGGAGATGGGAAACCAGGCAAGGGCTCTCCCCTCTTTCCCTGGGTTATCTCCTCACCTTCCCCACTCCCCACCCCAAAAATCTCAACCTCTGTGTAAAATCAAACAGGATGATAAACCCCGAATGGCTCCTACCATCAGAGAGGAGACCCCTCCCCATGCCCATCTCTGTGCTCAGCCCCCCAGGCCGACTCCTGCCACCAGGAGAGAAAAAATCCCCCCCCCCCCCCCCCCCGCCCCCCCCCCCCCCCCCCCCTCGCCGTGCCCCCCCCCCTTCCCCCCCCCCCCCCCCCAGGAGAAGCCCCTCTCGCCCCCCCCCATGGCTGTGCTGATCCCCTCCTGCCTTTCCCCACCCCCAAGAGAGGAGCCCCAATCTGACTGTTCCCCACCACGCCAGTGCCGCTTCTCTCCTGCCAGCCTCCCCTCCCTTCCCGAGCAGACACCGCCCCCCCCCAGGACAGCAGCGTCCCCCTCCCCCACGTCTGTGCTGCTTCCCCCTGCGCCCTCCCCCCACGTCTGTGCTGCTTCCTTAACACTCGCACTCCCCCTTTGTCTCTGCTGCCCCCTCACATAGGTGCCCCCCCACTGCCCAACCCCCAGTTGCCCCCCATAGGGCTATTTTGCTCCTAATGCCCCCACGCACACACCCCCTCCCCAAACAGTGCAGCCCGACTCCCCCACATACGACCCCCCCCTCATGCTGTTTCCTTTGACACTCCCCAGGAAAGGAGACACGCACCCCCCATAGCTGTACTGCCTCCATGTCATCCCAGGCCATCCAGCCTTCCCCTTTTGCGTGCTTCCACCCCAGCCCCATACTGGCTACACATCCCCCCCCCCGTGTCTGTGCTGCCTCGCCACCTTCCCCAGGGGAACCCCCGATCCCCGTTCCTTACCTCATTGCAACCCGCCAGGCTGGGCGAGGAAGAGCCTGTTTCCCAGCGTCCGTGGGGCAGAGGCGCCCACTTGTTGGAGAAGACCAGAAAATAAAGCGTCCCCGGGCTCGTCTGCAGGGGGCAGAGACACGTTCCTGCAGCAGCAGCAGCGAGATTTATCCTGTGAAACAAGGAACTTTCTCCCCGCACACTGGGAGCGGGGCAGGGAAAGTCCGGGGGGGGGGGCACCGAGAAAACAAGCCAAAGTCACCGACTAAAACTCACCTCCAGGCAGCTCCATCGCCCTGCCTGAGGAGGGGCAAGGGAAGAACCTTGGGGGAGGGCCCCCCAGCCTAGCAAGCCCCTAAAGCCTAAACTTTCCCAAGCGTGGGTCCTGCTGGGGAGATGCTCGTGGGGATGATCTTTAGCCCGGGCTTAGCCCCAGGCATTGTGGTAGCTGCTGCAGTGCAGGGAAAGAGGTTTCATGTTCCGCGCACGCTGCCTTTTGTCCGGGTCCTGGCCCCCCCCCTTCAGCTGCGCCTGTCTGAAGAGCTTCATCTGAACTTCATGCCGAGGTCCCTACAGGCATCCCCGACCCAGTCTCTCTTCATCCCCTTCCAGCGCCTTCTCCCTGGTTCTCATTAACGTGCTGGTTCAGAGCTCAGCTTGTCTGTCAATCAGCTGCGCAGGGGACCAAACCACCCCCCCTCCGGCTTCCGCTAGGTCCTAGAGGAAGTTGGCTTCATCACAGGACTTTTTTTTTACTTCTCTAACACTTTCCATCCTAGGAATCGGAAGGGTTTTTACATGCACTAATTGTCTCACAACACCCCTGTGACACAAGGAAGCATTCTTTTTTTACCGTGCCCAAAGGCCCCAACTAAGATCAGGGCCCATTGTGTTGGGCACTGTATAAATATGTAGAAAGAGACCGTCCCGGCACCAAAGAGCTACAGTCTTGGGCCACGTCTACACTAGCGCTTATGCCGGCAAAACTTTTGTCGCTCAGGGGTGTGCAAAAACACAGCCGAGTGACATACATTTTGCTGACATAAGCACGCATGTGCATAGCGCTATGTCATGGGATGGCATCTGTTTGCCAGAAGCTGGGACTAGGCGACAGGCATAGGATGTGCTCAGCACACACCAGCCATGGTTGTTTGGCGGGGCCACCCTCAGTTGTTTCGCTGCTGGTGGAAGGCGCTAGGGGGAGGGCGAAGAGCAGTGATCGGTGGGTGTGGGGCTCAAGGGAGGGAGCGGAGCAGGGGCAGGAAGAGGCGGAGTGAGGGTGGGGCCTCAGGGGAAAGGGCAGACTGAGGGCATGGCCTTGGGGTGAACAGGGGTGGAGCACCCACCAGGAAAAATAAGTCAGCACCTGTGGTGAAAGCAGATGGATCACTTGATGATTACCTGTTCTGTTCATTCCTTCTGAAGCACCTGGCATTGTTCACTGTCGGAAGACAGGATATTGGGCTAAATGGACCTTTGGTCTGACCCAGTATGGCAGTTCTTATGTTCTTATATCAGCGGGAGACACTCTCCTGCCAACATAGCTACCGCTGCTCGTTGAGCTGGTTTTAACCAGCATAACACGGCTATACAAGCTATCTTACAGCAGCATCGGTACAGCTGTGCCACTGTAAGCTTTTAAGTGTAGACATGGCCTAAATATACAAAGGAGAGGAGGAGAAATAGAGATACAGAAAGGAGAAGTGATTTGATCCAACAAATCACACAGCAGGTCCGTGGCTCAATCAGGAACAGAACCCAGGTTTTTATGTAACAAATGGGCAACTGAGATGCAGAGGACAAATGACTGCCCAAGTTCACTCAAGAAGTCTGTGGCAGAGATGGGAACAGAATGCATTTCTCCTGGTTCCCAGTCTTTTTTAGCCACAAAACCATCCTTCTAGCGCTAGGCAAGATCTGCAAGATACTGTCAGGGGACAACCCACCTTATTATTGTTATTGTATTTAGTGACAAAAATACACTAGCCATTTTACAGATACATAAGAAGATAAGTTCCCTGCCCCAAAGGGTTGCTATCTATATAAATTATTCCAGTGTAAAGAAATGCACAAATTAAACATACTTCAGAAGGAATCATATTCAGTGCAGCGCATTATGGCTGACAGAAGACAGACCTAATATATCACGCCCACAAAGAAGAGCATATGGTTAACTTCTTCTTCTTCTTCTCTCAGTTACACCAATGTAAATCTGGAGCAACTCACTGAAGTTAATGTTAAGTTACGACAATGTAAGCCTGATGTGAAAGCAGAATCAAGCCTAATGGCTTACCTGTAAAGGCCATTCTCTGATGACACACATTTCAACACATTCGCCAGGACCAAAACTGGGACCCGATTTTTTTTAAATGACCAGTGATTCTGGTTGCCCAACTTGACGAGTGTTGATCACTTGCCCTCTGAAAAATCAGGCCTCTTTAACATGTCTCAATTTGAGAATCCAAAATTCAAGACACCCCAAATCACCAGTTACGTTTGAAAATTTAGGCCTGGTAATCTTTTGGGCTAGGTATAGTTGCAGAAGGTACCCAAGGTTATGGGGAAGATGCACAAACATTACTTTACTATACTGCTGCAGTGTGGATGCAAGGATAAATTTAAGTGCCAGGCATATACCCACATTTTCATTACACAAGTATAAATCTCCTGCTTAGACTGGGCCATAGGGGATCCCTCTGTTATATCTCAGGTGGCCATGTTTTGGCTTTTGGTGAGCCTTTGGGTGTAGAAATTGTTCTGTCACTTCCTATTTTGAAGAGACATTTCAAGGCTCTATTTCAAAGGTGGTTTTCCCCTGTGATCATTATTAGTCGTGATGGATAAAATGTTCAAAATTGTCCAAGCTTTTGAACATTTTGCCCTATTTTTATTACCTTCCCCCAGCCCCTTTCATCTTTTTCTATTGCTTTTATCTGCCTGAATTTTAGGATTTATTATATTTTATTGTGTTTTGTTTGTATACCACACTGCAAGGAAGGAGCAGGAAAAATATCTGTTTGGTTTTGCTATTTAAGGCCCTGATCCTGCAATGAGCGCTATGTAGGCAGATTCCCTCCCTCTTGCTCAGAGCCCCATTGAAGTCAGCAGGGATCTTTAAGCAAAGAACTCACTGCAGGCTCAGGAGCCAAGCTGGTAAGAGTATCAGAGGGGTAGCCGTATTAGTCTGGATCTGTAAAAAGCGATAAAGAGTCCTGTGGGACCTTATAGACTAACAGACATATTGGAGCATAAGCTTTCGTGGGTGAATACCCACTTTGTCGGATGCAGGTAGTGGAAATTTCAAGAGGCAGGTATAAATATGCAGGCAAGAATCAGTCTAGAGATAACAAGGTTAGTTCAATCAGGGAGGATGAGGCCCTCTTCTAGCAGTTGAGGTGTGAACACCAAGGGAGGAGAAACTGCTTTTGTAGTTGGCTAGCCATTCACAGTCTTTGTTTAATCCTGATCTGATGGTGTCAAATTTGCAAATGAACTGAAGCTCAACAGTTTCTCTTTGAACTCTGGTCCTGAAGTTTTTTTTGCTGCAGGATGGCTACCTTTAAATCTGCTATTGTATGTCCAGGGAGATTGAAGTGTTCTCCTACAGGTTTTTGTATATTGCCATTCCTAATATCTGACTTGTGTCCATTTATCCTTTTACGTAGGGACTGTCCAGTTTGGCCAATGTACATAGCAGAGGGGCATTGCTGGCACATGATGGCATATATTACATTGGTGGACGTGCAGGTGAATGAACCGATGATGTTATGGCTGATCTGGTTAGGTCCTGTGATGGTGTCGCTGGTGTAGATATGTGGGCAGAGTTGGCATCAAGGTTTGTTGCATGGATTGGTTCCTGAGGGTCTACACTACAGCGGGGGTCCGACCTAAGATACGCAACTTCAGCTACGTGAATACCGTAGCTGAAGTTGCGTATTTTAGGTCGGCTTACCTGGCGGTGAGGACGCGGGAAAGTCGACCGCTGCCGCGCTGCCGCCTCTTGCCGAGGTGGATTTCCGGAGTCGATGGCAGAGCGATCAGGGATCGATTTTACCGCGTCTTCACTAGACGCGGTAAGTCGATCCCCGATAGACCGATTGCTACCCACCAGATCGGCGGGTAGTGAAGACATGCGAGTTACTATGGTGTGGTGTGTGGTTGCTGGTGAGAATATGCTTAAGGTTGGCGGGTAGTGCAGATCAAATATGCCTACAGCCTTTAGACATGGGTTTCTTAATGTTTTTTTTTTTTCTGGAAATCTAATTACCTGAATACAATTCTTATTAATACTTATTATTTCAGTAGAATATGTCTAGGCGTGCTAAGAGTGGCTGTCAAGAACTGCTCTAAGAAGCCATTTGTAGGCCACAAGAACTTTTTTTGGTCTTACAAAACCCAGTGACAATTCTATGTATTCCTGAGCACCATCTCCTAGCACCTGATCTGTTAACGAACTATTTACCTAGAGAGCAATGCAGAGCACTCCTGGGGCTTGAGAAATATTAAAACTCTTTTCAATCATTTATTTCTAAACTTTCATTTTATGAAATATTTTCCCCCCCTGACAGCTAGCAACAGCTGACAGGAAAGTGGGGAAAGGGGGGGGCAGTTGTACCAGGGCCCCAAGTTCAGGGTGCCCCCCTGGACATCTGTAACTGGGGTGGAATGAAGGTGAAATGGGAAGAGGTGGGGCAGGCCCCAAATTTCTCTCAAGGGCCTGTGACGGGCTCACTCCCCTCACTCCCCCACTCCTAACTAGAGACAGCAGGATCTAGGGGGACATTGTAATTGGCTGGGCTCCTCCTCCCTCCAGACACAACAGGATTGTAGGAGTGGGGAGGCCTCTGATAGTGCATTTTCTTCTGACTTGTGTGAAAGCATGATCTTGCCTGCCTGAGCTTGCTTCTAACACACAGGATAGGCTTCCAGCCCCAACCGTAAGCTTCATTTGGAGCAGCACTGAGGTAGACTCAGAAGAATAGCGTTTTACCTCCTTTGCTGTACTCTGTACAGGATTTGAATAATGTTGGACAAACTGCTCCTTTTTGTTGACGTTATTCACTTTTATTCTGAGCGGGAGAGAGGGGAAGAGATTATTCCCCCCTCCCCTTATTTATATGAGCCAAATCCAAACCTGGTGTAAGCAGATGGCATGACCACAGACAACATATGGCGCTTATGGGGGGGGGTGTCTAGTGGTTGGACCA